CGTCTCGGGGTCCAAAACGCGGTGCCAGCCGTCGCCGACGTCCGCGCCCCGGGGCGGCGCCGGCGCGCCGGCGGGCGGCGCGTCGGCGGGCGGCGCGTCGGCGGCCGCGTCGGCGGGCGGCGCGTCGGCGGCCGCGTCGATGGCGCCGTCCTCGGCCGGCGACTCGTAGCCCGCGGGCCGCTCCCACGTCGTCTCGGTGGTCCCTCGGTGCGCGTAGTAGACGTCGTCGCCCGACGTCACCTTGGCCCAGCCGCTCCGCGGCTTCGCCCAGGACGTCTCGTGGGTCTCGGCGTGGGCGTAGTAGGTCTCGCCCGTCGCCTCGTCGACGACGGCGTGCCAGCCGGGCGCGAGGCCGTCGTCCGTGGGCGGCTGCCACTGGGTCTCGCCGCTGGCCTCGTGGACGTAGAAGTCGACGCCGGACTCGCGGTGGTGGTGGCGCGTCCAGCCGGAAGGGAGCGTCGCGTCGGCCATGCTCTTATATGGGCTGCGTGCACCGATTTACGGAGCGACCATCGTTTAACATCGTACTGTTGGCCATCGGTGCACCTTGATGGGCTAGGCTAGGTTACTCTAGTAAGCTCTTCGGCGAGACGCTTTGCGCGAGTCGACAAGGTGAGGCCCGCAACGCGTGTCGCTGGCGCCCGCGCGCCGTGGTTTTGGTTCGGGCGTCTGTGCGACGGCTGGCGTACGTTCGGGAATGTGTGGGCTTTGCGTGGGAAGCGCTACGCCGGCGATCTACGTCGGTGGCGTTTGCCAGCGCGGCGTCGACGCCATTCGAGCGGAGAGACGGCCGCCGCTCAAAGCGACGTGCGCTCCCCGCCGTTTGTCGATGCCGTGCGAGCAAGTTGTTCCCGGGCGCTGCCGCCGTCGTCGGGCGTCGGGCGGGGCCTCGCCCCGCCCGGCGGCGCCGGGACCGACCGCTTCCCCCGATCCGAACCCGCTCCGAACCCCACTCCCCCAAAAACGCCCCCGCACAGACTCTTACCGCGCCGCCCCTCCATAGGAACCATGCCGAAGGAGATCTCCGACATCCGCGACTTCCTCCAGAAGGCGCGGAGGCGCGACGCGAAGTCGGTCAAGATCAAGAAGACCAAGGGCGTCGTC